TTGCCAGAGTTTAGTCATAATGTAGATACAGAAAAACATATGTTGGATATTTAATAAATGGCAGACTCTCTATTGAATAAACCTGGTTAGAACCATGACCTTGTATTTCAACAAAATGAATAATAATTCAACTTTGTGGTTATTAAAACCCTAGACATAGTTTTTGTCTCCATGAAAGTTTATAAAAGAAATTAAGGTAAAACTTAAAGCCAGTATGACTTCATTTAAAATAATATTTGACTTCAAGCATATACCAAATATGACTTATTGTCATATTTGGCCAAATGTCTTATTATTCTTTAAAAATGCATTAGACATCCAAATATCGTTTGTCCCCAACTCCTTTGCCCCCAGTTTCTTGCTTTCCATGTGAAGATTTTTCTGTATAGTACTTTGCACTATTAGGAAGAAGATAAAGCCTGTGCCACAGAAAATGCATTTTTATTTTACTGGCTCATGAAAAAGAATTTATTTTTTAAAACTCACTATTTCTTTCTTATTTCTATCCTTACCCAGGACAGTAGCTTAATAGGTTTCTTGAAATTGCAGGAAGACTTAGGAGTTAACATCGTCTTACCATTAAATCATGCCTCTATTCCTTGATGCTTTCTCCAAGAATGATGGCAGATGCTTTTGAAGTTCTGGTGTATTTGACAGAAAGCAAAATCTCAGTATTGAAAAGTTTTGAAATTTTTTTTTGTTAATATAATGTGTTATACTCCACTGTGGAACTTTTGAGTCACTCTTGGCTAGTGGAGTGGCAACAAAAAAAAGTCCTTTAAAGTCTAGTATATATTTGGTAAAAGTAAGAAAAGTTTGTTTTAGGACCTACTGCTTTTTTTTTTTTTTTTTTTTTTTTTTTTTTGAGACATGGTCTCCCACTGTCACCCAGGCTGGAGTGCAGTGGTATAATCATAACTCACCGCAGCTTTGACCTCCCAGGCTCAAGTGGTCCTCCCGCCTCAGCCTCCAGAGTAGATGAGACTACAGGAATGTGCCACCGCACCTGGTTAATTTTTTAATTTTTTGTACAGACAAGGTCTTTCTTTGTTGCCTAGGCTGGTCCTGAACGTCTGGCCTCAAGCAATCTCCCATCTCAGTCTCCCAAAGTGCTAGGATTACAGGCATAAGCCACACCTGGCCTCCCCGCCCCCCGTTTTTTTTAACTGAATTATGAGATTATGAATTTGTCAGCTAGATATGAATGTATTTTCTCTTTCTCTGTCTCTCTTTTTCATTTCCCATTATTGGCTATTACAGTTGAGTATCCCTTATCCAAAATGCTTGGGACCAGCAGTGTTTCAGATTTTTTTGGATTTTGGAATATTTGCATATACATAGTGAGATATCCTGGGGATAGGACACAATTATAACTGAAATTCACTTATATTTCATACATATTTTATATATATGAAATATATATAAGATGGCCTTGAAATGGCCTTGAAAACCAGATGGGTTTAGACTAACATAGCCTGAAGGTAATTTTATACAACATTATTAATACTTTTGTATAGACAAAGTTTTTATTGAGCCTGTCACATAAGGTCAGGTGTGGAGCTTTCCACTTGTGGCATCATATTGACACTCAAGAGTTTCAAATTTTGGAATACTTTGGATTTTGGATTATGGATGCTTCACCTGTAATTGCTTTCCAAAAATGATTGTTTTCACATAAATTAAAGGCCATAAATTGAAAGGAGGGTTCAGAATCACTTATTCATTGTTCACAACTTACCAGATTTTTCCTATTACCTTTTATTTCCTGTAAAATTCCAAAATGTGGAGGAATAGTAGGGTAGAAGAATAAACTTACTAATGCAGTAAGTGAAATGATAGCAGTTGTGCTTAAATTTCTAAGTAGATGATTTGGTAGCTAAGAATAATTTACAAATATTTTAAATTTTCTACTATATATGGAAACTATAGGGATACTTTACATATGGAAATTAAACTGGCACACATGAAGCAGAATAATACAGATATGATCTAATTTTGTTGTAAATGGAGTGATAAGGGTTAAAGTTCTGTGGGAATGGGGGTGGGATGGTGGGAGTTAGCCCGCACCCCTGGAAGCTCCAGTACTTAGGGTCGGCCTGCCAGTTGGCTGTAGGAATGAGTGCGATTTGGGAGAGGTAGCAGGGAAAGGAGAGGGGATAGTATGTGCATGGTATAGTTGTGCAGGTTGATCAACATGGAGTTGAAAGTTGCTGTTAAAAGTAGATAAAAGGGGTGGGTATGATGAAACTAGATAAAGAATGGCCTTGAAAGCCAGATAGGTTGAGAGTCGACAGGCAGCTATTGAGTTTTTTGGGGAGATGTGGTTTGGTGTCAGAGAGATTTAAGAAAACCCCTGTAGTTAGTGAGGCCAGCTTCTGCTCATGCCCAAGCCTGTCCTTTGCTGTTTTTGCTCAGACCCCAGGGACTCTATGTGTCCTCCTTCCCTCCTCAGTGCATCCCTTTGGTTTTTCTCCCTGTGTATATCCCCAGACTCATATTTTCTCTTTCAGCAGCCAGCCTTGAATCAGACATTCAGGTTCTTCCTCATATTTAGTCATCCCCCCGCTTATCCTTCCAAGGCCTCTAGTGAATGCATGAAACCAAAGATAGTACATAACCCTATACGTACTGTGTTTTTTCCTACACATACATACCTATAATGAAGTTTAAATTATAAATTAGGCACAGTAAGAGATTAACAGCAACAATAATAAAATAGAAGAGTTATAACAACATGCCTTCTGTATGCCAAACCCCATGACATGCAGCTTACCTATGTAACAAACCTGCACATGTACCCCTGAACCTAAAATAAAAGTAAAAAGTAAATAAATAACAGTATGCCAGCATCATGACTCTTGTGCTTTGGGACCATTATTAAGTAAAATAAGGATGACTTGAATAGGCACTGAGATACTATGACAGTCGATCTGGTAGCCCACATGGCTATTAAGTGACAGCATAGAGATACTAGAAAAAGGGATTATCCCAGGTGAGATAGGGTGGGACAGCACAAGATTTTACCATGTGGTAAAGAACAGCATGCAATTTAAAACTTATGTATTGTTTATTTCTGAAATTTTCCACTTAATGTTTTCAGACTGTGGTTGGCCAGGGGTAACTGAAACTGTGGAATGTGAAACCATGGGTATGGGAGGGCTACTATACAATTCCATACAACTTACTATTTCTCCAGCTTACTGTAGTCACAAGCAGGTTTGTCTCCACCACTTCACATATAGCCTATCAAGGGCCTCAGTGACTTCACAGGACTGAATCGGTGGTCTGTTCTCATCTGACTGGAGTCTAAGCAACATTGGGCATGGCTCACCACTTCTCTCTTGAAACACATTCTTCCCTATGGCTGCAGGATAACATGCTGTCCTTGAGGAGAGCATACTGACTTCCTTTTCCTCCTACCTCCCTGGCCGGGTCTCCTTTTCTGGCTTCCCTCCTGCTTGACTTCTCAACTTCAGCACTCCCTGGGTTCATTCCTGGCACCTTTTTTTCCCTCTGGCTGCATCCTCTCAAGTGGTGTCATATGATTCATCACCTGAAATTCTGTCTAACATTGACCAACTCTAAAGATTCATTAGCAACTTTGTCCTAGCCCATGAGCAGAAGTTTAGTATCTAGCACTCTACTGGATCTTTCCATTTGGATATTTGATGGGCACTTCGAAGTTAACGTCCAAAATGCACCTCTTGCTTTTCCCCAAACCTGTTTTCCTTTTGGTCCTCCCCTCCACAGTAAATGGCACCACTTCTCACAGGCTACTTAAGCTAAAGCCTAGACATTGACCTTCATTCTTTTCTTTCACTTAGCTTCCAAATCCCAACTCCAGCTATCAACAATTCTTTTCGGCTGTTTCTCCAAAATACATCCCAAATGTGACGGTTTCCCTCGTCTCCACTGTGACCTCCCCAGCCTAAGCCTCCCATGTGGGAAAGTCTCCTTGCATCTGCTGCAACCTCCCCTCAGTGCTTCTGTGTCCTGCACTCTGTCTACACAGCAGCAGCCAGTGTGGCCTGTTGAAAACCTAAATCACTTCATGTCATGTCTGTGCTCAACCAAAGGGGCAGTGAGAGAAGCACGTTAGTACTGAGAGGAAGTGCTCCATTGGTTTCACTGAGACGCAGGAGGAGGTTTTCCATGGGCCACCTTCTTGGTCCTTTCAGCCTGGTATGCGAACATGAGAAAATAACAGCCTGTGAGATAACGACTTCATCATATAATTAAAGTGTAAATAAAGTGTAATCTGTGCACTGAAGGGGAAGTATTAATTTTGATGAGTGGCATTGGGCAGGGCTTCATAAAGAAGATAACATTTTTGCTGGGCCTTGAGGGGTGAGTAGATTTTCAGCGTGGCTCATTGTATGGGAGAGAGTAGAAGGCTCTGGGGTGGCAGGGAGCTTGGCCTGAAGAGGCACACTGATTGTCTTAGGTGATGCCTCTTTCAGAGAATGGCAGGGGTTTTGATGCAGGGCCCGATGAGTAGATAGGATAGGATAGGAGTGGGTAATGAGGCTGAAAACGTAGATTACACTTATTTTGAAGGACTTCAGATGCTGGGTTGAGTGTAGAGTTGGAGTGATGTGGAACTGGCTTTAGGACATTGTATCAAAACGAATTTTTCAGTGGTCAGAAAATCCACTGAAGGTATTCTTCTGTCTTCTACCTGATACTAGTAAGGAAATACTCACGATTGTTAGTGAGATACCCCTTTGAAGGCTCTGGATGCTTTAAGTCTGGTTCCCAGGGGAAGGAAGCCCCCTGGTAGAAAGCCTGACCCACGTGGTGTGAAGGAATGCACCCCTCCTTCCCATTAGGCAGGTGCCAGGTGCCTCTGGGCTAAGATGGTGGTCTGTGCTCTTAATTATGAGGAATAGGGAAGGTGGTTTGATTACTAAAGGAGCTAACCCTCATGTGCTCTTTTCTTGCGGGGGTGGGGGGGAGTGTTAGTATGCTATATTAAGTAATCTTCTTAATTCCCATTGTAGGATTAACCACAATGAGCGGTTGGAATTCCTGGGTGATGCTGTTGTTGAATTTCTGACCAGGTAATTAGGCTTTTTTGTTTTTTACAGTTCCTCAATAATTACATTTTATAGGTAACATACTTATTACATTGCTTTCTTTGTAATTAGCCAAATAAGGCATTGATACACCATGTATTTTATCTGTTTTGTAGAGCTCAAAAGCCACATGTCTGTGGCTCTTGCCCTGACAACTCACACTCACTGATGCTGTAATGAGTGAGATTACAAGATGAAAGGCTGGTGTCTCTGTCCTGTCAAGTATATGTTAAAGTTGCTTACAGCCACAAGAGATCAGCTTGTCTTGGTCTAGATGCTTCAGAGCTTATATTCAATTTGTAAAGAAAGGGATGATATTTTTTTTTTTTTTTTTTTTTTGAGACGGAGTCTTGCTCTGTCACCCAGGCTGGAGTGCAGTGGCCGGATCTCAGCTCACTGCAAGCTCCGCCTCCCGGGTTCACGCCATTCTCCTGCCTCAGCCTCCCAAGTAGCTGGGACTACAGGCGCCCGCCACCTCGCCCGGCTAGTTTTTTGTATTTTTTAGTAGAGACGGTGTTTCACCGTGTTAGCCAGGATGGTCTCGATCTCCTGACCTCGTGATCCGCCCGTCTCGGCCTCCCGAAGTGCTGGGATTACAGGCTTGAGCCACCGCGCCCGGCCTGAAAGCGATGATATTTTAAAATGTCATTTCAACTTCTAGGATTTGTCTTTGATCCCTTTCTTACTCTTTCTGATCTCAAGGGAAGTAAAGCTTACAAGTAATTTTAATGACCAGATTTGTGTGTGTGTGTGTGTGTGTGTGTGTCTGTTTCTCTCCAGAAGTGTTTTAGGATCCTTAATTTGAAAGTAGGGGTAGGACGCCAGGCACACTGACTCACGCCTGTAATCCCAGCACTTCGGGAGGCCAAGGCGGGTGGATCACCTGAGGTCAGGAGTTCAAAACCAATCTGGCCAACATGACGAAACCCCATCTCTACTAAAAATACAAAAATTAGCCAGGTGTGGTGGTGCATGCCTGTAGTCCCAGCTACCTGGGAGGCTGAGGCAGGAGAATCGCTTGAACCTGAGAGGTGAAGGTTGCATTGAGCTGAGATTGTGCCACAACACTTTAGCCTGGGTTACAGAGTGAGACTCTGTCTCAAAAAAAAAGAAACGAAATAGGGGCAGGAAAGTGTGTGTTGCTTTTCTATACTGACACAATTTCTCTTTTAAAGGGAGACAATACATGCTTCTCTTGGAACTCTCTTGAGCTGTTTTTTTTTCTCTTTAGGTTATTTCTTTTCACAAGATGGACATAATCAGGAGAAGGGACTCCTCTCTCCAGGGGCCACACATAGCCCAAGGAAAAGCATTTGTTTCACTCCCAAGTTTTAGTATTAAATGTGTTTACTCCTAGAGTGTGTAATTGATTATTCTGCTCTTTGTTGTCATCAGAGAACAGATTTCAGAGAAACCTTTTAACAGAAATAAATGTGAAAATATGAGTGAATGGTGCCTTCTAGGTTTAAGCACATTCAAATATATTGTTCTTACCATTTAACTTTCAAAGACTTTAATCAGATCCTTTAGTTTGATTCAGCTGATGTCCATTGCACAGATACTGTGTGCCAGCCCTGTTTCTGTGACTCAGAGCCACAGACAGAATGTTGTGATGCGTATTTATTCATGTACTTCCTTTTTTTTTTTTTTTTGTAGTGTCCATTTGTACTATTTGTTTCCTAGTCTGGAAGAAGGAGGATTAGCAACCTATCGAACTGCCATTGTTCAGAATCAGCACCTTGCCATGCTAGCAAAGGTACAGAAAACATCTGCAGCATTTGTAGTTATGTCTGACATGCTCTTCTGCGGCCCATGCATAATTTTGCATTTGAATAAGTAACTCTTTAGGATATATTAGGGGTGTTAATATTTTACAGACCAGGAAGTATTTTTTGTTGGGTTTTAAGGATCCAGTCTTACTAGTTTTGTTACCTTAGTGAGTTTCACCAGCAGCTAATGAACTCCACAGTGAGGTAACTTGAGAACAGATGAAGAAAAATTTGACAGATGTGCATGAACTGAGTTAAACATTTGAGGAAAAGGAACATGGGAACAAAGCAAAAGAAATGAAATATGCTGTATTTTCCCTTTGTGTAATATTTCTGTAGTACATTTGTTTCTAATTTACGTTAACAAGCCGAATGATAGTTTTGAACAGAAGATTACAGACCATTTTTTATCCACTAGGGGTACTTTCTACACCTTTGAGAATCCCCCAAATCACAAATCCTATTAAGATTTAGGGCTTAGGCTGTTCCCCTAGCCTCATTGACTTAGCTCAGTAACTAACAGAACCTTTTTATAATTCAGATAAACGTGATCTGATTTGATGTTTCCATCTCCATATGATGTCTTATTAGAATAAATCATAGCTGATAAGCACATGGACACTTGCACTGACTCATCAGGGTTCCAGTCCACACTCCTTCTCTTACAAACAGGTGGCTATGGACAAATTGACAAATTGTTGTTCTCTTCTCCAAGCCTCTGCTTTCTCATCTGTAAAATGGAAATGACATTAGTCCTTGGCATACAGCCTGGTTGTGAGAATTAAATGAGATTATGAGCTTTAATGACATCATTTATAAAGTGCTAGGCATAATACTTGTTTATAGTAATTACACAAAGATGTTAATAATTTTGTAGGGGCTGTTTTTATTGATGCTACCCATGTTCTTGTGATAAATCCTTACATTTTTATAGACCTTTGGGTTTATTTAATAGTAGGTAGAGTGGTGGCTCTTAAATCCCCAAACACTGAGGAGCCACTGTAAAAACTTTTGTGGGTTTTGCCTAATTTGTGTCTTTTCTTCATTTTGATATAAAAGTTTGATTTTGATAGAAAGAGTAAAGCTCATCCTAGGTTTATGACTGGTTTCTTAATTTGATCTTGCCAAGGCATTAATTATATTCAAAATGTGGTTAATTTTAGCTTATGTGTTAGCAATAACACAGTTTTATTTTATGTGATAACATCATCATTGTAGCTACAGTGGTAGGCTTGGAACTGGTTTTCGTGGAATTTGAGAAAGTAAATACTGATGTCTTAATGAAAACCTGTAAGCAACCAGGTAAGCTAACTTGGTTTTGGTAGGCTCACAATGAATGAAATTTCACAACTCTATGTAAAACTGCTTAAGTGATTGGTTGATTTAATTGTCACAATGCTTCCTGATCATTCACGTAAATGCCACTGGAAATACATATTAATAAGTAGGTTGTCACTCCTTTCCTTATTGTTTTTAGTTTAGGATGTAATGGAATGGCATAATTATTTTTCAAACACTTATAGGGAGAATATTTACGAAGTTTAGGGAATTGCCGTAGCACGAAACAGAAGCTATTATATAACCCATTGGGTGCTGTACAAAGCCATGACTAATGACAGAGGTGGCTAGTTTCTCCCTTCAGGGGTTTCTATGTGGTCTTCTTCCACCAAGCCCAAGACTTGCTATTCCCATAGTACTCAACACCCATTGGCTGCAGCAGAAGCCTGTGGCAGTCCCACCTTTCTTCTGTCTAGACCAGTAGTCCTTAACCATTTGGGAGGGGAGGGAATTGATGGAGAATTGTTGACCCCCTTTGAGAATCTAATGAAAGCTCTAGGTCACCTACCAGACTAATGAACATTTTAACACATAAACAGTGTAGTATACCACTCTAGTCTTTTTAAAAGTTGTACTGATGCCAGGCGCGGTGGCTCACGCCTGTAATCCCAGCACTTTGGGAGGCCGAGGCAGGCGGATCACGAGGTCGGGAGATCGAGACCATCCTGGCCAACATGGTGAAACCTTGTCCCTGCTGAAAAATACAAAAAAATTAGCCGGGCGTGGTGGCAGGCGTCTGTAGTCCCAGCTACTCCCAGCTACTCCGGAGGCTGAGGTAGAATGGCATGAACCCTGGAGGTGGAGCTTGCATTGAGCCTAGATCGCGCCATTGCACTCCAGCCTGGGCGACAGAGCAAGACTCTGCCTCAAAAAAAAAAAAAAAAAAAGTTGTACTAATGCCTACATGGAAAAATAAGGATATAGAGTAGAGACTAGAAGAAGTCAGGAAATTCACATCGCAGCACTCCAGAATACAGTAGATGTTTATAAGATAAAATATGGCTTGCAGTCTGCTCGCAAGCAGGGCTCCAGAGATAGCAAACAATTAGATTTTCCCAGTGAAGTTGTGAAACAGATGAAATTTACATATTCTAGTATAAACTCTTGCACTTTGGGATCAATTTTTAAAAAGATATTTTCTGCTATTGCATTTGTGGTAGTCAAAACTCATTTGAGTATATTTTATAATCACGGATTTCAAACAGTACAAAATACTACAGCATATATGTCTTATTTTTATTGTCTTTGTCTTTTTCCATTATGAGTAAATATGGATATAAGATACATACTGAGACACACAAAATCTATGTCTTTTGTCTGAGGACTGGTGGAACTCATATTATCCTAGGCTGTTCATTGACTTGTGAGTTGTTCCATGTTATGTGGCATGTTATTGCTTAGTATTTATTGAATTGAATTACATGGTAAAGGAAATGGATTTATTGCATATTTATGCAATGTTTGTCTCTTTTTTATGGAAAGAATTATGATTTCCATTTATTCAATCTCAGGAGTTGTATAAAAAATATTCTTTCACGTTGTGTCTAGTTCTAAAAGGCTGGAATTGATTTGTATGTTGTAATGCCATAGGATAAGAAATAAGCAGCCACAGAGATCAAAGTAAAGGAAAATTATGAGTAAGATAGTGAAATGAATCCAGAGGTAAAGTTAGTACACACTGACATATTCATCAGTCCTACACCTAGAACTGGGCTACAAATTTGGCTCTAAACTCTTTTGAGGCCAAATCAGAAAAGGAAACACAAAGCAATACGAGTGCTATTTTCAAAGCCCTTAAGATCAATCCAATTCATTGCTCAGAAGGTCTCACTGAACCCACAGAGAGATGAGTATGGAAACCTCATAAGGGGGACACAAGTGCAGAGATATCGGGGTCCCCAAATCCTCACAAAAAATAAAAATAAAAATAAAGATTTAGAAGTGTAAGGCATTTTGAAGTCTTCTGAGGATCCTCACTCTACCACATAAAAATCTATTTTGGGCCAGGTGTGGTGGCTCACGCCTGTAATCCCAGCCGTTTGCGAGGCTGAGGTGACTGCATCACCTGAGGTCAGGAGTTTGAGACCAGCCTGGCAAACATGGTGAAACCCTGTCTCTACTAAAAATACAAAAATTAGCTGGGCGTGGTGGCGGGTGCCTGTAGTCCCATTTACTCGAGAGGGTGAGGCAGGAGAATCTCTTGAACCCGGGAGGTGGAGGTTGCAGTGAGCCAAGATCATACCACTGCACTCCAGCCTGGGCGACAGAGCCAGATTCCATCTCAAAAAAAAAAAAAAAAATCTGTTTTTTATGGTGCTGACATTGTCAGTACCACATGACTTGAGTCAAAGATGTAAAACTGACTTTCAGAAGTTTGTGTTAGGTTTGTAATTCTCTCCATAGGCATATTGGATGAACACAGGGGATTATGGTCTCATAGCAGAGTCTTATTCCAGCCTAGGCTAGTGCTTGGTCTGAACTTGGAATTGGAAAGTTCAGATCTGATCAATTCTGAACCCTGCTTGAACTATTGGAGGTTGTAGAAGCCTGTTTGGGAAAGAATTGAGTTGGTGAAAACTGAGCTGTATTTATAGGACTTCTAATGCATGTTAAACTAAACTGTCTCTTAATATACTCATATGGATTTGTAACCATTCCCCTTCCCCCATCTCGTTTCCACACCAACCCTCTGCAAGAGATGGGGAGTTCCTATAGTTAAGATTTTGGCAAACTTTCTTACATTTTGTCATTGTGAATTTTGTAGAAACTTGAACTGGATCGATTTATGCTGTATGCTCATGGGCCTGACCTTTGTAGAGAATCGGACCTTCGACATGCAATGGCCAATTGTTTTGAAGCATTAATAGGTAATTTCTCTCTTCATAGTCTACTTTCTTGCATGTCTAAACAGTCTGGAGAGCACATAAAATTTTGTGTGGAAACTTGGGACAGAATTATTTGTTCCCAAAGTACAGGACGTTCCTAGTATGACACCTACCACCTTATAGTTATTTCAGTTCCTTCAGAGCAGTGAACATGCCTCTTTTTTTTTTTTTTTTCCATTCTTACTGCCTGAATTGGTGTCTTGATGTCATGTAGATGCTTAGCATTTCATGAATTGAAATGAGGTGAATTAATATGGAGATGGATTACTTTCCAGATTTGAGTCAGGATCACATACATAAATGAACAGATTAGGTTGCTGAGAGACTCCATTGTTGCTTTTGATTAAACTATTTGTAATATTTCTGTTTTAAACATCTTGAAAACACCACATTTTTAAAACCCTACCCAGGGTTTGAGTCTGTATAACTGTTATTGATTCACTTGAAGCAAGACTGATGTTGACATTTCACTCCTCACTCAGGCACTTTACTTCCTTGGCTTCTTTTTGACTGTAACCAGAATTAGCCATTGGTACAGGAAAGTTATGAAGAGTTAATTAGCTGGTGATTGCAAGTATGTTTGCTTTACAGTGAAATGTTACAGTAGATTGACAATTTGATTTTTTTTTAAGGTAATGATCAAGTACATTTTAGCTTTCAAAGGGCTTTGTTCTTATCATTTTTGCCCTCTTCCTTTGAAAATGAATATAAAAGCTTCTCATTGTAGTTTCATGCTTATGATAGTGGCAAGAGAATGTTTAATAATTATCCGCAGTCTTTTCACAGCTATGTCTGTTTTTCACAAATATGTCTATTTTCAAAGAATTTGTCGCATGGAATTACTTTGCTCTATACACATAATATTTTTGACAGTTGGTGTTACCATTGCCTCCAGAACCAGTCAGACATGATTCAATTTCCTGTTCCATTATTTATCAGATCTGTGTCTTTGGCAAGCTACCTAATCTCTTTGATCCTCAGTTTCCCCATCTGTGAGATTGTGAGATGGAGATGGTGTCACTTACCTTGCAGAGTTGTCGTAATGATCTTAATATCTGATTCCGGCAGCATCCAATCCAGAGCAAAGTTCTACTTCCTTAAGCTGTCCCCCCGAATCAACTAATATAAACCTAAATCCTCTAAGTCTTTTCTAACGTCCTCCGACTGAGGTACCCCATGGTAGTGAAGATAAGAATATGGAACTGCTTTGCATGGTACCCAGGACATAAGTGGTTCCCCAACCACAACAGTTACTACCAGTGTACTCTGACTATCATTGTTACAACTGTCAATAAATAATAAATGTCTTTAGTTGTCAAAAGCCCTGGTAACTAAGTGCCTTAACATTTTACATGGAAAAGCAGCCTTTCTGAAGACAAGTGTAAACATTTGATTTCAAGAAAATATGACTACTCCATTGTAATTGATACCAGTTAAAATGTTACCATAGTACTTCCTGGTTATGATTCATGAGTGTGTGTGCCCAATGCTTCCAAATTAAAGGTAAAGCTTCCTCTGATATTTTATTTGCAGATGTCTTCATTGATCTAGACCCAGGTTTTGTCTATCAGGTTTTTTTTTTCCCCTTAGGTATCTATATATATTTGATCTGAAACGTAAACTATAAATACATAAAATAAAACTGAACATTTTCTTTACTGAAGTCCAGTATTTGTGCATTGTTCCCTTAGTAAGGTTTATACCTTTACCCTTCATGATAGTTAATATTTGGCCTCTTTTACTTACAATATTAGATTTAGATATTAGTAAATTGAATTTCGTATTATTTCAGTGTAATTTGTAACACAAAGCATAGCAAAAAGAGGAAATATGTCACCTTTAAGACAATTGCTTCTGAACATGTTGATTTGTTTTCTGTGAGTGGTTTTTGGCTTGCGTTTTTGCTTTTTATAGAGATAGGTCATTTTCTTTGACTGTTGATGGAGACTCTCTTTTGGCGTTCTCTGTTTTTCATCTAGGAGCTGTTTACTTGGAGGGAAGCCTGGAGGAAGCCAAGCAGCTATTTGGACGCTTGCTCTTTAATGATCCGGTATTTCTTTCTTTCTTTCTTTTTTTTATTATTATACTTTAAGTTCTAGGGTACATGTGCATAACGTGCAGGTTTGTTACATATGTATACTTGTGCCATGTTGGTGTGCTGCACCCATCAACTCGTCCTTTACATCAGGTATAACTCCCATTGCAATCCCTCCCCCCTCCCCCCTCCCCATAATAGGCCCCGGTGTGTGATGTTCCCCTTCCCGAGTCCAAGTGATCTCATTGTTCAGTTCCCACCTATGAGTGAGAACATGCGGTGTTTGGTTTTCTGTTCTTGCGATAGTTTGCACAGAATGATGGTTTCCAGCTACATCCATGTCCCTACAAAGGACACAAACTCATCCTTTTTTATGGCTGCATAGTATTCCATGGTGTATATGTGCCACATTTTCTTAATCCAGTCTGTCACTGATGGACATTTGGGTTGATTCCAAGTCTTTCCTATTGTGAATAGTGCCACAATGAACATACGTGTGCATGTGTCTTTATAGCAGCATGATTTATAATCCTTTGGGTATATACCCAGTAATGGGATGGCTGGGTCATATGGTACTTCTAGTTCTAGATCCTTGAGGAATCACCATACTGTTTTCCATTATGGTTGAACTAGTTTACAATCCCACCAACAGTGTAAAAGTGTTCCTATTTCTCCACATCTTCTCCAGCACCTGTTGTTTCCTGACTTTTTAATGATTGCCATTCTAACTGGTGTGAGATGGTATCTCATTGTGGTTTTGATTTGCATTTCTCTGATGGCCAGTGATGATGAGCATTTTTTTGTGTGTCTGTTGGCTGCATAAATGTCTTCTTTTGAGAAGTGTCTGTTCATATCCTTTGCCCACTTTTTGATGGGATTGTTTTGTTCTTGTAAATTTGTTTGAGTTCTTTGTAGGTTCTGGATATTAGCCCTTTGTCAGATGAGTAGATTGCAAAAATTTTCTCCCATTCTGTAGGTTGTCTGTTCACTCTGATGGTAGTTTCTTTTGCTGTGCAGAAGCTCTTTAGTTTAATTAGATCCCATTTGTCAATTTTGGCTTTTGTTGCCGTTGCTTTTGGTGTTTTAGACATGAGGTCCTTGCCCATGCCTATGTCCTGAATGGTATTACCTAGGTTTTGTTCTAGGGTTTTTATGGTATTAGGTCTAACATTTAAGTCTCTAATCCATCTTGAATTAATTTTTGTATAAGGAGTAAGGAAAGGATCCAGTTTCAGCTTTCTATTTATGGCTAGCCAATTTTCCCAGCACCATTTATTAAATAGGGAATCCTTTCCCCATTTCTTGTTTCTCTCAGGTTTGTCAAAGATCAGATGGCTGTAGATGTGTGGTATTATTTCTGAGGACTCTGTTCTGTTCCATTGGTCTATATCTCTGTTTTGGTACTAGTACCATGCTGTTTTGGTTACTGTAGCCTTGTAGTATAGTTTGAAGTCAGGTAGCGTGATGCCTCCAGCTTTGTTCTTTTGACTTAGGATTGTCTTGGAGATGCGGGCTCTTTTTTGGTTCCATATGAACTTTAAAGCAGTTTTTTCCAATTCTGTGAAGAAACTCATTGGTAGCTTGATGGGGATGGCATTGAATCTATAAATAACCTTGGGCAGTATGGCCATTTTCATGATATTGATTCTTCCTATCCGTGAGCATGGTATGTTCTTCCATTTGTTTGTGTCCTCTTTTATTTCACTGAGCAGTGGTTTGTAGTTCTCCTTGAAGAGGTCCTTTACATCCCTTGTAAGTTGGATTCCTAGGTATTTTATTCTCTTTGAAGCAATTGTGAATGGAAGTTCATTCATGATTTGGCTCTCTGTTTGTCTGTTACTGGTGTATATGAATGCTTGTGATTTTTGCACATTAATTTTGTATCCTGAGACTTTGCTGAAGTTTCTTATCAGCTTAAGGAGAAGTTGAGCTGAGATGATGGGGTTTTCTAAATATACAATCATATCATCTGCAAATGGACAATTTGACTTCTTTTCCTAACTGAATACCCTTGATTTCTTTCTCTTGCCTGATTGCCCTAGCCAGAACTTCCAACACTATGTTGAATAGGAGTGGTGAGAGAAGGCATCCCTGTCTTGTGCCAGTTTTCAAAGGGAATGCTTCCAGTTTTTGCCCATTCAGTATGATATTGGCTGTGGGTTTGTCATAAATAGCGCTTATTATTTTGAGATACGTTCCATCAATACCGAATTTATTGAGCGTTTTTAGCATGAAGGGCTGTTGAATTTTGTCAAAGGCCTTTTCTGCATCTATTGAGATAATCATGTGGTTTGTGTCTTTGGTTCTGTTTATATGCTGGATTACGTTTATTGATTTGTGTATGTTGAACCAGCCTTGCATCCCAGGGATGAAGCCCACTTGATCATGGTGGATAAGCTTTTTGATGTGCTGCTGGATTCGGTTTGCCAGTATTTTATTGAGAATTTTTGCATCGATGTTCATCAGGGATATTGGTCTAAAATTCTCTTTTTTTGTTGTGTCTCTGCCACGCTTTGGTATCAGGATGATGTTGGCCTCATAAAATGAGTTAGGGAGGATTCCCTCTTTTTCTATTGATTAATGATCCGGTATTTCTATGGAATCATTCGATTTTTTTGTTATGTATCATTACAGAAAATTTTATTCAGCTGGTCTTTGTAATTTGAAGAGAATATAGGAAAACAAAATAGTCAGATCTACCATAGATGGAACATTTCAAGTACACCAAAATGGCTTATTCAACTCTTGCAGATGGAAAGTTCTGTGGACCTTTACACAAGGAGTTTTTCTTTCGCCTGAAACCTGTCTTTCCTCATGGTCACTTATAAATTAAATATGGATACAAATGTAATAGGACTTCACTTCATTTTGAAGTGTCTTGAAGTTAATTACGATTTTATATTTTAGAATCATTGGGTATCTACCCCATGCAGGCTTAGTTGAAGTGATAGCCTTTTGGCTTTTCTGTGTATGATTTGTTTTTACATAAATTATGTAGACTAGATAAATGTTTGTTTATTTTTAAAAGTAAGTTCATAGGGAGTTTCTGATAGGGCTATGGATAAAGCGTATGAAAGTACTTTTTTATTATTATTATTTTTATTATTATTATTATACTTTAAGTTCTAGGGTACATGTGCATAACGTGCAGGTTTGTTACATATGTATACTTGTGCCATGTTGGTGTGCTGCACCCATCAACTCGTCCTTTACATCAGGTATAACTCCCAATGCAAGCCCTCCCCCCTCCCCCCTCCCCATAATAGGCCCCGGTGTGTGATGTTCCCCTTCCCGAGTCCAAGTGATCTCATTGTTCAGTTCCCACCTATGAGTGAGAACATGCGGTGTTTGGTTTTCTGTTCTTGCGATAGTTTGCACAGAATGATGGTTTCCAGCTGCATCCATGTCCCTACAAAGGACACAAACTCATCCTTTTTGATGGCTGCATAGTATTCCATGGTGTATATGTGCCACATTTTCTTAATCCAGTCTGTCACTGATGGACATTTGGGTTGATTCCAAGTCTTTCCTATTGTGAATAGTGCCACAATGAACATACGTGTGCATGTGTCTTTATAGCAGCATGATTTATAATCCTTTGGGTATATACCCAGTAATGGGATGGCTGGGTCATATGGTACTTCTAGTTCTAGATCCTTGAGGAATCACCATACTGTTTTCCATTATGGTTGAACTAGTTTACAATCCCACCAACAGTGTAAAAGTGTTCCTATTTCTCCACATCTTCTCCAGCACCTGTTGTTTCCTGACTTTTTAATGATTGCCATTCTAACTGGTGTGAGATGGTATCTCATTGTGGTTTTGATTTGCATTTCTCTGATGGCCAGTGATGATGAGCATTTTTTTGTGTGTCTGTTGGCTGCATAAATGTCTTCTTTTGAGAAGTGTCTGTTCATATCCTTTGCCCACTTTTTGATGGGATTGTTTTGTTCTTGTAAATTTGTTTGAGTTCTTTGTAGGTTCTGGATATTAGCCCTTTGTCAGATGAGTAGATTGCAAAAATTTTCTCCCATTCTGTAGGTTGTCTGTTCACTCTGATGGTAGTTTCTTTTGCTGTGCAGAAGCTCTTTAGTTTAATGAGATCCCATTTGTCAATTTTGGCTTTTGCTGCCGTTGCTTTTGGTGTTTTAGACATGAAGGTCTTTGCCCATGCCTATGTCCTGAATGGTACTACCTAGGTTTTCCTCTAGGGTTTTTATGGTATTAGGTCTAACATTTAAGTCTCTAATCCATCTTGAATTAATTTTTGTATAAGGAGTAAGGAAAGGATCCAGTTTCAGCTTTCTATTTATGGCTAGCCAATTTTCCCAGCACCATTTATTAAATAGGGAATCCTTTCCCCATTTCTTGTTTCTCTCAGGTTTGTCAAAGATCAGATGGCTGTAGATGTGTGGTATTATTTCTGAGGACTCTGTTCTGTTCCATTGGTCTATATCTCTGTTTTGGTACTAGTACCATGCTGTTTTGGTTACTGTAGCCTTGTAGTATAGTTTGAAGTCAGGTAGCGTGATGCCTCCAGCTTTGTTCTTTTGACTTAGGATTGTCTTGGAGATGCGGGCTCTTTTTTGGTTCCATATGAACTTTAAAGCAGTTTTTTCCAATTCTGTGAAGAAACTCGTTGGTAGCTTGATGGCGATGGCATTGAATCTATAAATAACCTTGGGCAGTATGGCCATTTTCATGATATTAATTCTTCCTATCCGTGAGCATGGTATGTTCTTTCATTTGTTTGTGTCCTCTTTTATTTCACTGAGCAGTGGTTTGTAGTTCTCCTTGAAGAGGTCCTTTACATCCCTTGTAAGTTGGATTCCTAGGTATTTTATTCTCTTTGAAGCAATTGTGAATGGAAGTTCATTCATGATTTGGCTCTCTGTTTGTCTGTTACTGGTGTATATGAATGCTTGTGATTTTTGCACATTAATTTTGTATCCTGAGACTTTGCTGAAGTTGCTTACCAGCTTAAGGAGATTTTGGGCTGAGACAATGGGATTTTCTAAATATACAATCATGTCATCTGCAAAGAGGGACAATTTGACTTCTTCTTTTCCTAACTGAATACCCTTGATTTCTTTCTCTTGCCTGATTGCCCTAGCCAGAACTTCCAACACTATGTTGAATAGGAGTGGTGAGAGAGGGCATCCCTGTCTTGTGCCAGTTTTCAAGGGGAATTTTTCCAGTTTTTGCCCATTCAGTATGATATTGGCTGTGGGTTTGTCATTAATATGAAAGTACTTTTTTAAAAAGCAAATTATAGTTTAAGAAAAAATGATAGATTCTAAAATAGTTTCTGTTGTTAACTTAAATATTAAGCTATTAATATTGCCAGAGATACCTTTTTAATCCTGCATATAATAGAGCACTCTGGATGCTTTCTGCACCAAAACAAGTCAATTTAACATTTAAAGGGAGAAGCAACTCTGTATTCCAAATTGAAATGTCATTATAATTGAATGAAATAGCCCTCGTGGAGCAATAAAGAACACGGGAAGCCAGTTTTAAGCCTCTGTGAAACCTTCAGCTTAAATGGCTGTCAGACGTTATTACTGTATTACTTTGGGTAGTTTTTTTAAAAAAGGATCAATAGTTTTGGAAAATATGACCTGGACAATGTTCATATCTGAGAATTTGATTTTTGTATTTGTTTTTCTAGAGATATGTGATGATTTTTATGTGTGAATTTCCTCCTTATGGGAAGATTATCTAGAGATGTTCTGTGTCCCCCATTTTTGTCCTGCACATCTAAACACATGTGCGTCTTGATTTGCATCTGTACCAGATGGTTTGTGTTTTAAGACCTTTTCTCAAATCTTAAATTTTCTTTGTTCTGGCCTTCACCTTTTGTGGGTCATTTCAGCAACCTCTTTGCTCTTTTTCCTTCCTGCCATCTTGCCTCTGTGTCCCCCAGACCCTTTAGACTCCCTCCCCCACCCTGACCTCTTCCTTGTCCCCTTCTCCCATCTTACCTGCATCCCCAGTCCACTGTGTTCTGTTGTTCTGTTTTGCTGCAGTTTTCTACTTGTCGTCTTTAATTGCATCAGTCGGTGTTTAGATTCTTTTCTCTTTAAACTGCCTCTCTCCCAGTTGTCTACTTAGTGAGCTTATCTTGTGTTTCCAGTACCTAGTGCAATGCTGGCATGTGCAGCGTTTAATACATATTTGTTAGAAGACTGAAGTGAGTAAATGACTGGATTAAAAGCAGAGTCTGAATATTATCTTACAAATGGGGTGGTTGAGATTCAGAATTTGTTTTAGTATGTCTTTTGTGAAACTGTACAAGGCTCAAAATGTATGGGTTTTCCTCTAGCATTTTGAAGTACACAAACTTGGACACTAACTCATTTGACATCTCCATTTTGGTTTCCACCTATTAGTTGTAGCATGTGAGAGATGTTAGTGAACCAATGTACTTCTTTTTTGAATAAGGCGTCATGGAAGCCTAATCAGCCAAAGACAGCCAGGGACAAACCTGTAGGCAACAAAGTCAGGTGGATTGGCTGCGTTGTAGGGGTGGAGAGAGACATCCTTTGTGAGGCCTGGGCTGGTGCTGAATCATTCTCAGGAGGTTCTTGGCTGTGGCCAGTTTAGGAGCAGCAAGAGATTACTCTGGGATTGGGTGCTGTCACAAGGCAAGGGCAGCTTGGAGATTGAGTGTCTGCAGTGATCCTTAGTCAGAGGGTCATAATGGCATTTTTCAGCAGCTGCAAGACCTTGAGGGAAACATTGTTTCCTGTTCACTTTGCTGCTGGCTTTATCTATGTCTGTCTGCTCAGCCTTGTAAACAGCAGGGCTGGTTTTTTCTTTTTCACCCTGAACTGAGTTTTACTCTTTCAGCCCCAGTGTTGCTGGTTTTGTAGTTTGGTCTTTGTGTAACTCTTCATGTTTGACCCAGTACATTCAGATCCATTGTTTCATTTTGATTATGTTAATAGCCCGCTTAGAAAGATAGAGTGGTGTTAGTGTGATTTTTTCTGTGCCCTGCTTTCCACACCTTTTTTCTTTACACATCTGTACCAGTACCTCTGACTCAGGCCTTTTCTCTGGAGCTCCAGAAATAGGAAAAAGTGTCTTTTCAAGTTGCCCCTGGGCACCTTCTCATCGGTGTTCCACAGATACCTCATTTCAACATGTGTAATATTGAACCCATCACTTTTAACCCCCAAACATGTTCCTCCTTCCTTATTTTTATCTTCTAAACCAGAAACCTTAGGATTTATTTTTGTCCCTAAGCTTTCTTCTCCTCTTACCTGATCAATTGCAAGATTCTATCAATTGTGACCCTAATATTTCTTGAATTGCTACCCTACTGCTTTCATTTTTGTCCTCCTCATTTCTCACTTGAACTCTTTAACCAGCTGCTATCTCCCACTGCTCCAGTCCATCATTCATACCACATTTAGTGTTGTCTTCTTTTCAATATGCAGATTTGGTTATGGCCTTTCTTGCTTAAAATCTTTGGTTACAGCTTCCCAAGCTCTATATACTACATAACATAGCATTTAATAATTTTCATAATCTGACTCTCAGCTGTTTTTTAAATCCCTCTTTGTGTCATTCACTAGGAATCACCTTTTCGTGCCTGTGTACTTTAAAACTTCTTATTTGTATGTTTCTGGTGCCCCGTTTTTGATTCTCACTCTCTACTGATTGGCCAAAATCTTCATATTCTCAGGACACATCTGAAGAGTCATCTCCTCATTGAAGCTTTATCTGACACCTACAGGCAGTTTTCCTAGCACTTACATGTTTTTATCTCATTATTATGAGACTTACCACAATGTATTAAATTGCACTTATTTACCTTCATTCTTTCTCAGTAGGCCCCTTTAGGACAGGGCTAGATATTCAGTAAAAACATGTTGCATGAACAAATGACCTGATCAGAATATTTTCCAGAAGAGCCAGCTAAAGGTAGAGACCTTGCCTAAGGTCCTTGAGCTAATAAATGGTAGCACTGGGGTTCCAGTCTAGATCTTTTCAATATATTTCCACTGACACCAAGGTGCAGCAGAACCCTATCTCAGTGTCTACGGGGTAGAAGAGAGGAAATGGACAGGTGCATTAGTCTGGTCATGGGGTGTTATGCGATTACACCAAGATGGGTGGCAGCAGACATGAAAGGAGAAATCAAAGTCTTGTTTGAGTATAAGACATGAAGGCGATAGAAGAAAGGTGAATCAAGATCCCTGGGAATTTTGAGCCTTGGAGACTGGGGTTGGTTGGAAGAGATAGCTGTTTATCATTGTTGTTGTCGTCATCATTATTAACAGTAGTATTTTCTGTGGGCCAGCTCTGGGTTTAATACTTTGAGTGCATTGCTCAGGGTGTTCGTCAGAGAACAGCTCGAGTAGGTCCTACAATTATCTTTGTCTTAAGCTTGAGGACATGGAAGCTTAGGTTAAGTGATTTGCCAAGATGGAATCAGGATTGAACCCAGGCAGCCTGACTCCTGAGCCTGCCATCTTCTGTAACAGCTGCTCTAGTTTAAGGAGAAAGGTGAAAATTTATCATTTGGTCATGTTCCATATGGGGTAATAGGTGCCCATGTGATATTTAGAGTTATGGACTGGGAGCTTAGGTAAGACGTCAGTGCTGCAGCAGAAATGAATGAGTAATCCAAACTGAAGTAGTAAAGCATTGAAAATAGTGGAATTCTCCAGTGGAAATGGTAATGAATAGGTCAGGCAAGGGGCTGAAGTTTGATAAATGTCCACTTAGGGTAAAAGGAGGAAGAAAAAAAGTATTGAGAGAAAGTTGTAAGAAGGTAAGAACAATCAATATAATTTGCACTACAGAGATTTCAAAGGAAAGATTTCTGAATTGGTTAAGAGAAGTCCTTTAAAGTGCCCCAAAGAAAGTTTGATGTTTAAGTGCTTTTAAAAAATATTATTTAAAAAACCCTGAGTGTATTTTATTAAGATATCAGTAGTACAAGAAATACTAGGTATTTTACTTTATCACCCTGTGTGTTACAAGTGGTACTAAATTTTCCTATACTTCTTCCCCTCTAAAAAAAAAAAAAAAAAAAAAAAAACTAGTTTCCTCTTAAAGAATTTTTTTGTTATTTATTTCAGAAATCGAACATCAAGGTCGGCAAGTAAATTCAGTCAGAGACTCCCTAGAGTCTGAAACTAAAGGAAAAGCACTTTAATCCTGAGGAAGTTCTCCTTATAACTGCCTCTAGATTTAACTCAGTGGATAAAGTAATGTACTAGGCGTTTCCATAAAATTCACTCATTCCAGTAGTTCAAGTGAGGATTTGTAGTGACCCACTGTAAAAGCATGATCTCATAAACGTAAGATCTTATGAAGATGATGTGGGGCCTTTTCCACTCCATCTTAAAATAGCTCAGATGATAATGAATTAGTGCCTAAAATAAAGGATATTTGAAATTATTTTTAATTACAAAAGGCACAGCTGATGCACATTTCTGGATAATGGTAAGAAAAAAATATGATTAAAAGAGCAGTTTAGTGCAGTGTATTAGGTTAAGCAAATGTGTAACTTAGTTTTAAAAGGTGTCTGACTTGTGGGACTAGAGGTGGCTCTTTTTCCCCCTAGCTTAATAGGCTAATTAGAGTCACTACAGGCGGTTTGAGTGGTGAATACACTTAAAAAAAATTAGTTTGCCAGCACTATTGAATTTGCCATAAGTGGAGTCAGCTTCTGAAATAGTTCAGTATTTCAAATAAAGACATTTTATTTAGTACTCTAGAGTGCGTTAAATGGCTCCCTTGAGCATTAAAGGCATCACTCCATTTTCCAGGACCTGCGCGAAGTCTGGCTCAATTATCCTCTCCACCCACTCCAAGTAAGTATGACCTCCCTGTCTGCAGTGAGCTTTATGACTCCAACTATTCATGTTACTTTCCTTTGCCTTTTTTTCCTCTCCCACTTTTATCTTTTGATTCTCTTCAGTGGCATTATGCCTTTAAGCTGAGGTGTCAGACCTGGGAAACTTTGGAACAATAGTAGAATGAACCCATGCATTGTGTTTATGTGGTCTGGAAAGGGGTAGGGGGAGCACTGGGAGTCATCCTCCCTCAACGAGGAAGGAAGAGCTACTGTGTAGTTATGGATGCCCCACCACCACCAAAAGGTGATATTCAAAGTGTAAAATGTTGACTCCAGTGTATCTACACACTTGCTATTGCAGGGAAAGTGTTAATAGTATGGAAGCAAATCTGAGGATACTAAAAAAGTAGAACAAATACTAAATTAACATTGTTAAAGTATAATCTGATCTGGATCTTAGAAATTTAAAGCTTCAATTCAGAGTGTATAAAACCTACTATAAATTTAAAAATGAGTACAATGTGATAGCTTTTCAATCAATATTTTGGAATTTAAAAGCCCTACTTATGGTGATGACACCTATTTCCCCAGATGGTTTAAGAATTCTTACTATTCTTTGCTTTTATTTCGTTTTACTTTGGGATATATGCATATATGTAAACATGCATATGTATCCTCATATACATATTTTTATATATGTATATAAAATAAATATAAGAATAATCAGTAGTGGTTGAACTCTCATAAGAGGCTTTACAGTAAGAAATGACATTATTTCAGCTTACTTTAAAAATGTTTTACTAATACATGAGTGCCCAAAGTTGTTGCAAATGTTCATTTTAATCACACTTTTCATATTTGCTCTCTGCCAGTTGTTAAAGGCTCATTGTTGGAGCACCACCTGTCTAGTGGTATAATAATCTCCAATGTACATTGAATTCTGTTTTAATGATTCTCATTGCCAAAATAGGTTGGTCCCTAGAAAACACAGTAGTCAAATTACTTTAATGCAGTAGTTTTTGAAGGACAGACCCAGACCAGCAGCATCTGCATCACCTGGGAACATGTCAGGAAGGTGGATTCCCAGTCTTGATTCCAGACATAGAAAATCAGTAACCTTGGGGACAGGGCCCAGCTGACTGCATTTAACATGCATGCTAGAGTTTGAGAACCATTGTTTTACTAGATATATATATTCTCTACCAGCTGTTCTTCAGCTTGCATCTCCTTGGAGAGTTAGTATAATACTTGGATTCTGAACTATCTGTGTACAGTACTTGGCCTTGAAATTTGATAGAAGATTGGAAAATATTATTTGAACCTTCTTTAAATATTAGATTTGTTTGCCATTCAAAGAGATGAGAAAGGAACTTCCGTGCTTTATTGGCATTTCATAAATTTTTGCTTATGGGAGAAGGAATTTTACAAAACACCATCCTAGAATTGATCGTTACACTTATAACCAAAAGTGAAAAAAATGATTTTTATTTATTTCTATTTTCCTGTAGCTACAAGAGCCAAATACTGATAGACAACTTATTGAAACTTCTCCAGTTCTACAAAAACTTACTGAGTTTGAAGAAGCAATTGGAGTAATTTTTACTCATGTTCGACTTCTGGCAAGGGCATTCACATTGAGAACTGTGGGATTTAACCATCTGACCCTGTGAGTGAAAAGTTCTCATGTTGTCCCAATGTGACCATTTAGACGAGGCAGTCCCAGACCTTTGGAGCATGCCCTTCGAAGGAATTGGGATTTCAAATATATTTCCAGGAAAGTCACACTGCGAGATGGGTGAGCAGACAGACCCCAGTGTGGACCCGGGGTTATGCTCCAATCCAGTGTTGTTGGTTCCATTGTCATGCATCTTGGTTTCCCTGTGAAGTGTCAAGAGAAGTGTGAAGAAAGTATAAACTTTTTCCCAGCAGGGACAGATACTAAATATTTTAGGTTTTGGGGGCCATGTGGCCTGTGTGCAGTGATTCGACTCTGCCGTAGTAGCATCAAAGCAGCCACTGATGAAATGGAAATGAGTGAACATGGCTGTGTTCCAGTAGAACTTTATCCTTAGAAACAGTCCGTGGGCTGGATGTGGCTCTCTGACCCCTGCTGTAGATGAATGATTTGAAGGTGAGCTAGTGAAACAATTAAGAAAATAAGCAAAATTTTACTTCTTTGGAGTTGTTTTTTGTTAATTTTTTTACTCCCCTCTTCCAAACCAAATATTCCCAACTCTCTTTAAACTATAAAGATGAAAGATTATCATAGTTTTTTTTGTTTTTAAATTTGGATTCCAGCTTTGAATAACAGAGTATGTTATTTCTTTTTCTTTTTCTTTTTCTTTTTTTTCTGACAGATCTCATTCTGTTGCCAAGGCTGGAATGCAGTGGCATGATTACGGCTTACTGCAGCCCTTGACCTCCTGGGCTCAAGCACTCTTCCTGCCTCAGCTTCCTGAGTAGCTGGGGACTATAGCTGTGTCCCCTATGACTGTAGCTGTGTGCTACCATGCCTGGCTAATTTATATACACACACACACACACACACACACACACACACACACACACACGGCTAATTTTTATATATATATGGTTAATTTATATATATATATGGTTAATTTATATATATATATATATATGTATGTATGTATGTATTTTTTTTTATTTTTTTTTTTTTGTAGAGATGGGGTTTCTTCATGTTGCCAGGCTGATCTCAAACTCCTGGGCTCAAGTGACCCACCTGCCTCAGCCTCACAAAGCACTGGGATTAGAGCCATGAGCCACTGCACCCGGCCAGAGTATATATTTCAATAAGTTTAGCAAAGAAAATTCTTGGACCTGTTTGCTTTCTTTCAAGACTGTTGTTTGTATTATGCTTGATTTTTCAATTTATGCTCTTCAGCTTCTGACCAGGCAGTGTTTACCAGTCTTGATTTTGGCAATCGTTTAATGCTTAGATAATATTCACTTTATTCTTCTTTAAAACTCAACCTATATTAACTCAGATCTCTTCTCAATCGAGGGGCCTTAGGGAATTGTATTTGGTTTTGTGCTTTAAAACAAAATGAATACATTGTCTTTTTAAGTCATGCCTTTTTAAAAATTCTGGGTGTTTTTTTTGAAATCCATAAATGGTTATTGATTTCTTTACTTTGATATTTCTTTTTCCAGAGGCCACAATCAGAGAATGGAATTCCTAGGTGACTCCATAATGCAACTGGTAGCCACAGAGTACTTATTCATTCATTTCCCAGATCATCATGAAGGACACTTAACTGTGAGTTTGTTAAATCACTTCCTCCAATAAGATTGCTGTAAAACAGAGTGAAGATTAGAGGGGTCAAATATATATCTATGTGATTGATTTCTTACTCTTAGTGACTTTAGCTTATCATATGGCTTTGTTCATTTCATTGTGCAAATTGTATACAAAGCACATACGCAATGAGAGCTCATTTTATACTCCTTTATTTACTGACTGCCTACTCTGCAAAATATTGAGCTAGGCCTCATGGAAGGAGCAAAGATAAATTGACACCAAGTCTGTTTACAAGGAGCTTAAAAATTATTAGAGATTAAAGCTTAAATAAATAACCACAAAATAAAGACTATACTCTCTATATATCATGTGTTTATACATGTAAATAGATACACATGTATAAACCTGGAACCATAGAAAGCATAAGTTACTATAACTAAATGCAAGGTAGAACATGTTAAATATTATAAAGAAGCCTAGGTAAATTGCTACACTTGTGCAGTTTAGGAAAATACGAGGTTTCTTCTATCTGTGGAGTTCAAAGAAAGCTTCATGGGTATAACGATGTTTGAGGCTTTAAAGCCTGTTGGGATTTGGCCATTGGGATTTGGTGGGAAGAAATGTCTATGCAGGGCAGTACACACACTGGGACTGCAGAACAAAAAGGCATGGCACAAAACAGTGAGAAGACTGAGAGGCAGTAGGGACTTAGTTTGGTTAGACCATGGCAGAGTTGAAAGGGAGTTACAGAGACAAGTTTGATTTGTAAACAAAGTGAAATGGTCCCCATGCCTCTTAATTTTGGTTTCATTTTATAAAACTTTCGTGAGCTTTTTTATTTGCTGCATACTTTTTTTACTCTGTAAAACCAGTCAATAATATCCTGAAATAGTGAACAAAACGTCCAGAAGGAGGTCATGGTAATCTCTTAAGGCACAAGGAGTAACCTTTGAGAAGTCTCTTGAGGATTGGACATTGAGAAAGCAAATACTTTATTGGGCAAAGAAAAATATTGGTACACTACAAGATACTTAGTGCAGTCTGTCTTTATTATGTTGAAGCAGATAACAAGTCTTTCAAACTTTGCATCTGTACGGTTTTTATGTGTGTTCTGCTTTGAATAGGATTTTATCTTTGTGAGCCCTGGAAATAGTTTATGCGAGACATAAATATTGGAACTAGAGAGAATATGGTGACTTGGCTGTTTAGATGTCATTTTTCAGTGGAAATTCTAAGCCTAGCATTCATTCACTCAATGAGTATCTCTTGAGTTCCATCATAAGTGCTGAGGAATCAGCAGTACTCTTTTTTATATTAACAGTTTGATTACCATTTAAAGTTAACTGTTTTTAGGTGGACAAGAAAGAGTTTTTCATGACAATATTAAATTCATAAGAAAATGTGAACATTTTTGAGAAATGAACTATTGTCTAGTATCTCACTGTTCATTAGAAAAACAATAAATTGCATGTTCAATATCCTCTGACACTTCATACGTGTCAGAGTATCTGGTTGGCCTGAGAAATCGCCAAACCAACTAAATAGTTTGAAGTAGTAATTTGTCTTAGGGCCCTATAGAGGCCACTTTTGAAAATGTTTGCTTTAAATATACACATTTCCCCTGGTATTCCTACAAAATTAATTGTGAACTCTAGGATCTTACAGAGATGGGAAGTTTATTGTTTCCCACCTGCTCACTGCATACATTTCTCCTCCCACCCCACTCCCCTACCCCCAGCATTGAACAAAAACCAAAACTCAGAAAGGCATGAGTCCTGCCCATGATCTAGAGAAAGGTAAAACTAGGATTAGATGAGAGACTCTAGTTCTGTGTTCTTTCCAAAATCACTGCAATGCCAGAAGTGTAGTTTTATCCAAAATGAATTTAACAGCCCTGCTGTCTTAATATTAGAAAGTTTTTGACTAGCTTATTAGAATGGTGTTGACAAATGATAAAATTATGTGAAGGCTTTTTGAATTATATTCACAGAATGCTTTGGTAGAAATCATCAGGACCAGCAGATCTGCGGGCAAGACAAAGACAAAGAATAAGCTAAACGCAGATTCTAACAGATACCAACTCCCATCAGCATTAACATGGCTGCTCCCTCCTCCTTGAAATACAAGCTTTGTTGGCTTCTGTCACGGTGCACTTTGCTGGGTTTCCTCTTACCTGTTTAGCTACTCTTTCTCAGCCTGCTTTGCAGACACATCTTAGTCTTATGGCTAATAAACAGTCCATATCTAAAACACTCATTCTTAGGCCATGTTCTCTTTTTAATCTCTGCTACCAGTCCTTTCAATATATGTCATCAGTTTCATCTTACTGGCAGATGACTTCTAAACTGATCTCTTCAGTTCTCTCTGCCTTCTGAGTTCCAGCCCTAGCTGCCTTCTCAATGTCTCAACACATGTAAGACCGAATTTATAGTCTCCTGCCTGGGTCCTCGTCCAATATTCCCTAATTGAACGGTGGCACCACCCATTCAGTGTTGCATGTCAGAAACCTAGGAGGCATCTTGGATGCCTCTCTCTATCTCCCTTTTCTATATCCCAGTCCATTCACAAGCCCTGACAGTTTTATTCCTCAAGTATTTCTTTAATTTATCCTCTTTCTTATGACCTTTTTTCTGTCACCCACATCCTCCTTACCATCCTTACTCACCTGGACCACTGCAGTTTAATTTCTGCATAACTATCAAAACATCACAAGGGCCAGGTATGGTGGCTTATGCCTATAATCCCAGCACTTTGGGAGGCCAACCTGGGAGGACTGCTTGAGCCCAGGAGTTCAAGACCAGCCTGTACAACATAATGAGACTCTATCTCTACAATAAAATTAAAAAACTAGCTTGGTAGCGTGGCATGCATTTGTAGCCCCATTTACTCGGGAGGCTGAAGTGGGAGGATCGCTTGAGCCCAGAAACTGTGGTTGCACCACTGTACTCCGGCTGGGCAACAGAGCTAGACTCTCCTCTCTCTGTCTCTGTGTGTGACACACACACACACACACACACACGCACACACACACGCACACACACACACGCACACGCACACACGCACACGCACACACACACACACACACACACACACACACACGCACACACACACACACTGTGATTGATAGAGACCCAGCTGAAAGAAGTGACATTTATTAAATTGCAAAGGATAGGAATCTGAAGGTTGTGTTCATGCAAAACATAAGGCAGTGCAGCATCTTCCCATGAGAGGAGGGTGCTCCTGGAGTCCCCAGGTTTCTCCTGGATGTATCCTAATATTTGAAAAGCCTGCCTTTGCTGTTCTTACGGGCATTTTTGAATTCTATCTGAGAGATGGACAGCCTCTCAGGCAGAAATCCTTCAAGAGGCCCAGATCTCAGGCCTTTGTGAAGTTAATTTTTGCAGCTTCCTACCAAGGTCTTCCTATGTCAACTCATGCCCCTGCTCAATCCATTTTACATGCTGCAGTCAAAGGAGTCTCTTCACAACAAATCTACACTGGCCTTTCATCTACAGTGACTACACTGTGACGACACCAGCCATTCATCTTCAGTCCCCTTTGGTTGTTTCTCTTCCTCTCCCCACCTATTAACATTAGAGTGGCCCAGTTCTCAGTCGTCAGACCTCCTCTCTGTCCACTTCTGCTGATCTCATTCTGTCTGTCTCATGGCTTTGAATACATCTTTACACTACTTCTAATTTGTGTCTTTGGCCTTTTCTCTTTCCTTTTTCTTGTAAATTTGTTTTAAGTTCTGTGTAGATTCTGACCACTTTTACTATCACTTGGTCTGAGCCACTGTAGTCCAGATTATTAGCCATAACCTCCCAACTGGTTCATCCCCCGGGCCCTAGGCAATTTTCAGCACATCTAGAGGGATCATTTTTAAAGAGAAGCCAGATTACATTCCTCTTCTGCACAAAACCTCTCAAACCTTGCTATCTCAAGGGTAAAAGACAGTGTTGTTACAGTCACCTTATATGAACTGGCTCCCTGTTTCTGACTGTTTCATAGACTGTTAACATTGGCCTCTATGCCAGCTCCTGCAGGACACTAAGCAAGCCCTTGCCCCAGGCCCTTTGCACGTGCATTTTATCTGGCTGCAGTATTGTTCTCCTGGTAGTCTATACAGCCAAATTGCTCACCTCCTTCAGGTCTCTGTTCAGATGTCATCTTATCAATAAAGCCTTCCTTAACCTACCCTGAATAAATAGACAACCACTTCCCCCTTGTCCCTAGCACATCTCCTCAGCCTGGAACCTCTCATGTCTTTTTCCTCCTTAGCATATAGTGTGTAATGTACTTGTTTACTATCTGTCTTCTCCCATCAGAGTGTAAACTCCGTGAAGACCAGGATTTTTGTTTGTTTTCTCCATTCCTGATTCCTGGGTCCCTGGGAAGTACCTGGCATATCAGTGCTCAGCAAGTATGCTTTGACTGAATGATCATCCTATCCCAGCTTAACTCTCTACAGTTGCTCTTCAGATAGTTTTTTTTTTTTTTTTTTTTTTTTTTGAGACGGAGTCTCGCTCTGTCGCCCAGGCTGGAGTGCAGTGGCGCGACCTCAGCTCACTGCAAGCTCTGCCGCCCGGGTTTATGCCATTCTCCTGCCTCAGCCTCCCGAGTAGCTGGGACTACAGGCGCCCGCCACCTCACCCGGCTAGTTTTTTGTATTTTTTAGTAGAGACGTGGTTTCACCGGGGTAGCCAGGATGGTCTCGATCTCCTTACCTCGTGATCTGCCTGTTTCGGCCTCCCAAAGTGCTGGGATTACAGGCTTGAGCCACCGCGCCCGGTCACTCTTCAGATAGTTTCTAAAGAACAGGCAAAGCCCTGGGTGGTCTGGCTTTGCCCGCCTGCCCAGCCTCATACCACAGGCTCTTCTTCTCGCTCTGCACCTCTGTACTGGGCTGCTGTTTGCGTTTCTCCAGGCCTCCTCCTGTCAGCAGGCCTTTGTGTATGCTCTTCCTCCCCCGGAAGCTGTTCTGTTCTAGCCCTTACTCTCATGTGCCTGGTATCTTC